AAAAAAAATAATAATAAATTAATAAGTTGAACTTAGTATGATTTATACGTAAAATTTTTCAAAAATGTTTTTCCTTCATTCTTTATATAGGTATGTAGATGTTAGTTTCTTATTTCTCCTATGAATTATAAGTGAAAAACGATGTGCACATGCAAAATATGCATCAAGCATAACTCTAACGAGTGAAAAATTATTACATTACTTCGACCAGGAGAGTTGACATCCAGAAAATCTTTCGAGTGATTGGAAAAAGTAAGACAAACTTTCTAAAACCAAAGAAATCATGTATTAACATGTTAACAACTTTTTTAAAAGGAAAACTAAAATTTGGTATAACTTTAATATAAAAATTATTTTAAAAGGAAACAAATCTTTAATAATAAATTAAGAATTAAGACTATAATTTTGAAACGCATTTCTGGTCTATCGTAACATTATACTGATAACATTTTAGGAGAATGGAGGAGAGAGGAAGAACTCCACCTATAAATTTTAACTTCGGATATATATTCCTTTCCTAGATATAATGGAAAATGTTCAGTATAACACATTGAACGATGCTTATACAGACATGAACAGTGATATTAGCCCCACTATCTATAGAGTGTCTGAAGAAAAATTACTATTCACTAGAAATTAATAAATATACGTATGTAGCTAAAATTTTATGTTAAGAGTCAATCTTCCCTCTTCTCCTTCAAATTTCAATTTGATCGGCCATTAGTGCTATTCAGAGATACTGAATCCAGCAAGTTAAAAGTGTTCAGGGACAATTCAGAATTTTCCGCTCAGGATGCTCGCGTTAATACCTATAGAACAACAGTTGTTATTATTGGCCAAATCGTGCGACAATGTAATTCGATATCGAAATGATACGGAGATTCCGAGGACTCCCGAAGCCCTAGACCATTGGTGTCTACTTAACTTACTCCCCTCACGCTAGTAACTTGAAAACAGTGTAGGGACAAGCCTAGCAGAAGAAACTAGGTACGCATAAAATAAAACTGTGTTGCGTGTTTCACGTATTGGTGGTGTGACAGAGTAACCCTGTGGCATGTATCTTTATTTAATATATATACTTTTATTTACAATATTCATTGAATTACTATGTTGAAATATTTTTATTTACCAGCTACTATGATGACTTGTTTCTAACTAACTATTTACAAAGAGAATATTACGAATGTTAACAAAAGAACTTAAAAATGTGAAGTTAAACATTAATTAATAAAAAATAGAAATTTATTGAATCTAAAAATAGAAACCGACATTATCGACACATTGGCTACAACCCTCACTCTGATGCCGTCAGGGGGTGAGGGTACGTAGCCCCCACTACTTCTATTTGAGGAGTTGCCCGAAACTGTGCATGGAGTAGTTCTATGTAGTCTTCAATACGCAAGTAAAAAGTAGATACGTGGAGCAAATTTTTGTGAGGGGAGTAACAGTTTAGTCATCCATATCTTATGTCTTAAGTCTGTGCTACGAACCACATTCTCGACATATTATGTTTATTCAGTTAAGACATTGTTTTTGTTATATTGTATCGACGAATTATGAATTAAAATTTTGTCTACATTTTTTAGTGTGTATTTCATTTATCTGATATGAGTTATGATTAGTGACGTTTATCTGCTCAAAAAGTAATCACGTTAACACATTTAATGATATTACATTAGAAACTTTTATCTGTAAAATGACACTAAATAATTCCAAACACTACTTTGTATGTAGTAATTTATTGATTATTTTGGTGTCCCAAAGTATGGTAATTTGTGAGAGATTTGATGCTCATATTTCATTAACAACAAAAGGAGAGGGATTTCATAGGTTAAACATTAAAATATGTTAGAAAGAATCTCATTTATCCGATTAAATTGTAATTATTTAATATCTACCTGAAATAATGAATAAAAATGTATGTTGAATGTATCTATGATAATATTCATAATATATATAATTAACAAATTAATAATATATATTAGTAGTCACTATTTAAAATTTAATTAAAGTATAATGTATTTAGTAAACTGATTCGTATGTATTGTATTGTAATACTTAGAAATAATTTGTCTTTTCATCATTGAAGAAATTAAGAATAACAGAGTTACATTAAGCTTGAAAATTATTCAGCACTTTGCATTAAGTTTATATATTATTCTTAATATACAAATCATGTTACGCAGCAATGTTGCAGATATTGATTGCATATAAATTTGAGTATGGACAGTTTCTTTTAATATCTAAACTTCATCATGTATATATACAGTGGCGACCATATACTTACGAAAATTTAGAAAGTTGAACATTTGTATAAAATTGCAATTCAGAATGTAAACATAAGAATAGTTGTTTTATTAATAGCAAGTTTAAGGTTTATCTTATGCAAAATGTAAAAATATGTCAAAATCAATTCTTATCTATAGCTATTAATGTGAAAGAAATTTCTTAGATTTTTATTTGTCATATATAATTTTAAGTAAATATATAATTATAGATATATGAATAAATCGTATTCGAATAAAAAGTATGGATAAGTTGACTGCCATGGTGGTCCATCGATAACAGCTTTCAAATTACTTGAAATGAATTACAAGGAGAAAAATAATTTCGAATCAAAATATTTAATAACACAAGGAACTAAATAATAGTGTAACCTAAGAACGATGATGTGGAATTGTTAATAACGAACTTTAATACCATTTATCTTTATTATGAAAGAATAAATAATATACAAAATGTTAAAAATTGTTGTGTCGGTCAGTGTGTTAATATTGTTTTCCATCCATTTCCGATAATAGCATATAATTCTTCGCTATTGCTTACTTTGTGTTCTTCTATACATTTTTTCACATTAATCCATAGCATTTTAATAGGGTTTCAGCTGGAAAATTTACCATTCACTTCAGTACAGTAATGAAATTTTCTTCCATTAAACTTCAAATGTTATTTTGGAATTTTTGTTTGTAAATATCTTTTCTAAATTAATAATTTGGTAATGAAATTATGTATGGTTTAAGAATAATATTAAAAACACACTCACGTAACTCATTTTTGTATTCTTATAACATAAGAATGTTAAATGGTAGTTATTTCTAATGAATGTATTGAATTGAAATTCTTATCATTTACAAGATGAAGAATTAAAATAGTCTGTAATCTGTTAATGATAAAAATAATTAAATAATCGGATAACAGAGATTCAAACAATCTTTGTATTCATATATTTTTCTTGTTTTCTTTTAAAACAATTGATTTGCAGATTTTTAATCTATGAAATAAATTTGGATGTGTTGATCAATGACAGTTATATTGCACTATATTTGCAATTACCATCTACTTTGTACAGTAGTGTTGATGAATTAAATGATTTAAGAAGATTAGGAATTGTAAGTAATGGCGTTATTATTATGTTAATAATATTGAGTATATGTATGCTCAAAAAATAATTTTGAAATGATTACAATTGAAATCATTATTATTTTTATTATTTCAAGTTACATTGTAATCTTCATTATATTTTAGAATACCATTTGTTCTGCAGGAGAAACTAATGTTGAGCTATTTATGGAAAGAGCACAATTTCAAAATATAACTATTTGCTCAGCTTTGAGTAACAAGAAGTTTCTCTTTAAATTTCCTGTTCATCTGCGATATCAATATGCTAATGACATTAATACATACATGAATATTATTATACCAAAACCAAAATTACTGTTGGGTTGTAAAAAAAGAATTAAAGAATACAGAGTTTCTACAATTGATTTATGTTCTCCTTGTGTAGAAATTATTAATAAATGGAGAGAGATTCCTTATATCATGGTAAAATGCAAATCTCATTATGTATAAACATTTTATTTTATAATATCTTACATACATATATATTTCAATTCTTATACATTTTCTTTCTAGGATACCCAAAATGTTATATGGATAATACCAATTGGTAATTCATCTCTATTAACTGCAGTAACCTGTGTTACATTATTATCAACAATTTTGTGCACAATGTTTCTTTTACAAACAATTTGTAAATCAGTACTTATTACACATAAGAAAAAAGTGTAATATATTTAAAATACAATTAATGTCGTAATTAGTGACACACTGTGAAAGTTTATTTATCACAATCTATTGAAGACAAGTAGTTCATATGACTAGCTTGTTTATATAATAAGAATTCACTGATTCTCCTAATTATTTATTATATACTTTTATAACTAAAATTCACATTCAGACAAGTGGTTTCAATTATACATTTAGATTCTCTTATTAATGTTTTAAATTGTATTTTATTACTAAAATAAAATTGTAAAAATAATGATTTTATAATATTTGGTGGTCTGATTTTTTATTTCATAATAAAAATATTTGTATTTATTTTATTTACCGTTACGAATCAGTTTTATAGCCAAGAAATCAAACTTGGTGTATATATATGTTGCTAAACAAAATTTTAAGTACACTATTCCTTTAAAACTATTTTGATCAATAACTAATTACTGTAAATAAAAATTCACAGACATTAGTTATGTAATATAATTTTAATTTGTATAGTTTTTAATTACAATTGAATTATTTTTACATTATTAGAAGTAAATATTAAATGTACAAATACATGTTACATTCAAGTTTGAAGGGACAAAATTGTGAGCGTGTTCACAAAATTTATATGGTTCTTGTGTGATGAAATTTCTAATGTAATGTCATATTGGATTGTGTTTTGTTTTTTATAACTTCTTGTAATCTATTTTCATAGAAAACACTATTTTTTGGTGATATTTGGCACTATTTTGCCCCATTGTTCTTTAAACATATCATCGAGTTGATTTTTACTTGTTATTTCATGCACTCTTACGTTTTTATGCAATTTGTATCATACGTGTTTATTGGATTAAGGTTTAGTGATTGTAGAGGAAGTGGTAAGATATATACCAAATTTTATACGATCCATAAACAGACTACTTCTGCTGAAAATAAATCTTCTAATCCAAATTTAATTTTACAGGTGATTTTTCAACATTTTTTTTTAAATATTTGAATAATTTATTTCGTTTATTATATTTTCAATGAATTCTAATTCTCCAACACTATTTGCTGCCATACAGCTCCAGACCATAACTCCACCACCCCCATATTTTATTGTGTTTTGCAAATTCTTTGATCCAATTTCTGTATTTTTGTCCTTCACGATCAAATTCTACCATCCGTTTTGTATGTATTAAAGAATATAGTCAAATAAGCATGGTACAGGTGTCCTCAAATCAAATTGTGTACAACTCACTAAATTAAGTAAAAAAAACCAGTGAACATGAGTTCTGTTGCGTTACGCCGTTCGCGGTTAGGGAAATTTTAGGGAATTTTACGTGGGTAAGGTGCCCGTGGAGTACTAAGGTACTCTGCTCGTAGCGCGTGAAATAAATCTTATACTTTTTGTTCCGGCACGGTTTCTTTGGTTAAGATACATGTCATAAAAAAGCGGCAGCTCAACCACCTAAAACCCCGAGCGCACAGCCACCGGTACCTTTGCAGGTCAGAAGGGACAACGTACCCCCTACCTCTACTACTAGTAATGTGGGCGTAGGTTAAAAAACTATAACTAGCAACACCCCGAGCGTTTTAGCTTTCTGATTTGTCACTAAGGACACCACCCTATCTTTGTATTTTTATATATATAGAGAGACATTGAGATAGATAGATAGACAGACATACATCACAAGTTCATAACAATCACGCTGTACTCACTGGACAACACACACACTTTAACTTTATAAACACATACACGTTCCTTTCACTCAATATTCAACAAATACAGTCCACTTTCGAACGAGAAAAGGAGAAGCCTTTTTTCATCACATCCATTTCACACAAGGTTAATTCGGCGCGTGAAAGTGTTACGCCAAGTCCACTATTACTGCCTAGACAGCGTGCACGACCACTTTTAGTTGTGAAAATTTTTGACTTTCTATTTTATTTCTGAGTTTATAAACTGGTTAAACGTTCGAGGTTCGAAATCGTTCTGCTTTTTGCAATGAAAGTCTCGTTCGTTATCGAACCTCGAACGTTTAACCAGTTTATAAACTCAGAAATAAAATAGAAAGTCTCGTTCGTTATCGGCTAGCATCCCCTCCTTTCCAGTTCTGGATCCTCCCTGGCCCAATGGTGGGGTTCTACCCCTTCATTCGAGGCGGGCCTCTTCCTCTGGCTTCGGTCCACCCTCAGGCGAGTGGTGGTGGAGATGTTCGGTCCAAACATGAGAGCGAAGGCGATTCTGAGCGCATGTGCTAAGGAAAAGCGTGGGACCCAGAGGAAAATAAAGAGGTCTCGAGCGAGTGAACGCGGCAGCCCTTAAGAAAATTTATGGCTCCTTACAAATAACCAGAGTACCGAGAGGACTTCGACGACAGCGAGGATCGAACGTAATTTTAGTTAAGAGTGTCAGTTTAGATATGGTCTGTAATAAAAAAGTCTTTAGAGGCTACAAGCGAAGTAGTATCTTTTCTCTGGTTTCCAACCTTCTCTTGACTCGACCGCCCACGTTCAGTGTTCTTTAGATACTACGCTCCGTGTTATAATGCCTTAGCTCAATTGTTTGTATTTCCTTCCTAATTTATGAGCTTCAATCACGGAACGCAACAGTAACTATCTTCGTCCGGCGTTACCGTCGTACCGTGCCTATCCAATTCACGCGATAGCATTACAGTTCAAAACTCAATAGTTTCAGAGATAAAAATAGGTTTTGTTTAAAAAAAATATATGGGAACTGAATCAAGAACACCGAATTATCTTGAAAAATATCAGTAATATAAACAAATGTAGCTCGGCCACACGCTCCACCTTAACTCGCGGCTCGGCTAGTAACAAAGACGTGCCGAAACTAATTTCGCCATTACTATTAGGTCGAGTGCCGCGAGTTGGACATCTCCCTTTGCCCCGCTGCACTTTTTACGGGGGGATTCTCTTTTTTCTTGGTCAAAAATAGCGATACTTTAGGATTTTTTATTAGCAAAAGTGTAACATTATGTTACATAAATTTTTTCAATTCAGTTCACTTAAAAATACAGTTTGAATTACTTATGAATTAGGACGCTCCGCGCAATTGCTTTATTAACAGCTGACATGATATCTGCCCTCCAGTTCATATGAATTCAAAAATTCTAATGAGATTTTATTTTATACATATATAGTTATCGTTTGATCTACAATGAATAAACAGAATCATTTTTCGAGAAATGGTAACTCTTTAAACTTAGATGTTCGATTTTTCGCAAAAAATTATCGGAAGTTTTGGTAATTAAAAAAAAACATATACAACCTATCGTCGTGCCTGTAGATCAAATGATAAAAGGATGCTTTCTTAACATACAGTTAAAATTTCAAGATGATTGATCCAATATTTGTTTTCAGCTACGAAAAAGTGGTTTCGAGAAAAACGCGTTTAAAGTTTTTAGTGCTGCTACTGAACAAATATCAGGTATTTACAACTAATCAGCTCTTCCAGGTTCGGATATTATTCCTTCCTCTTGCTCGTCGAATTGATTTTTTTCTAAATTTGTCATTTTAGCTTCTGTACGGGCCTCTTTTTGTTGCTTCAAGGCTTCGTTTCGCCGATATTTGTAATAGCCATTCATCTCTAGACGTGATGAAACTTTTACATTGATCTCCAATAACGATACCAATATCGTCCGTGATGTTTAAAATTGCATTGCAGTCTTCATTAAAAATGCCTGTTGCTATAAATGATGAAATCTCAATTGTTTTTAGTTCACAATGAAGGTGTTTAGGAGCAAGTCGCCAGAACGTCGAATTGAAACCCTTATTGCTATTCTGAGTTTCACTACCCAAACATCTTTCTAGTAATTCTTTTCAAGATAAATCTGCATAAAGTGATTTTACTTCTTTTGCAACGTCTCCATGAAGTGGTGGCTCATGGCTAAATTCTTTAAGAGTATCCTCAGCTTCAGCTTCACGCCACTTACACCAACTATCAGACCCCCTTGGACAGTACATGGGTTTCGGATATTGTTCAGTAGCGTGGCAACCTCGTTAGATTGCACGTCCGTACGCAATCACCAGACGCGAATTAAATTTCTTGGCTGGAGTTGCAAGGCCCAGCCTTAACTCTCGTTGATGGTCGCGACGCTTCGATTTCTGAACTTAATCAGAAACCGAATGTTTCAATTCTGATCTCCGAACGATTGAGATCGTACCACCGGTTTCTCACGATATTGAGAACTCGCTTTTGTGTTACGCGTTTCGAGACGAACGAATTCTCGAATTTCGAACTAGTTGCTTCTTCGGAGTGTAAAGCTGAAGTGTGTCTTGAACGATGGACTTGTAGTGTGAGAAGTGTCTTACGAGAAGAGTCGTGAAGTATCCCGAATGCGATCCTGTTGGTGATTTTGTACAGGCACCTTTAGGTTGCATCGAGTGCGCTGATTGGATATTTCGGAATTTCCAATCAGCGCATATTTAAAAAATTCGGAGGCGTTTGAATGACGCCCTTTGGCCAGTCCTCTTGGTGCGAGGGTGATGGCAATGGCCACGTGCGGGGGGTCCTTGAAGATTCGACGATACCTCGGAAATTTCCTCCAGGTTGACTCTTGACTGAAGGAACGATTACGAACGAGGTTCGAGTTGACCCTTTGGAAATTCCCGGTTTACGATATGGTCGGTTATCTGGACAAACGAAACAAAAATTCCAAAATTATTGCCTGGAAAAACGCGGAATAACTAAATAACTTTACTGTTATTTAAGATGAAATTTTCCTCTGAGTTTCTTGGTCTTCTACATGTTTCTTAGTCGCGATCCCATATGTTTTTCTACATGACCTACACATTCTTTTTTCTTGAATATAAAATGTAACTATGCTACTGTCACTGCAAATAAATTTGAACTTGGCTGTCAGAAAACTACGACTTCGATAACATAAACGTTTCACAACAATGCCGTGGATTCTGGGAGTCTCGATGCTCGATCACTTGCCACAAAACGTATACCTTGCTTGAAAAGTTCATAATATTGATAATTTTATGAATTTTAACTTAAAATTTTGCAAAGACATTCCTAGAAAGTTAAACTACAAGATTCTCTAAAAAGCGAAAAATTGATTTTTTGACCAAAAAAGAGAATCCCTGCTTAAGTCACTGGCCAGTTCAGTAATACACTATTCGGCTCATGTCAGTAATACACTATATCTTGATAATGACTTGAACAAAAAATTTCATATCTATGGTTTGAAAATGTCTGAATGTCGGCTTCAAAAATATGAAATAGAAAGCATGGGGTTCTATTTAAGAATTGTAATATAACCTTTCGAGGTTGTTTCAAGATCACGTCACGGTTAAATACCTCTCGCCATGACATGTAGTATTTTATACTCTGTAGCTTTTATTTGATACATTTGTTCGTGTCATTGATATTTGTCGAAATAATTCGGTGGTTTTGATTCTGTAGTCATACATTTTGTAAAAAACAAAACGTATTTTTATCTCGAAAACTATTGAGTTTTGGATCCATGTTCGCTGTGTTTTTTTTTACTCAGTTTAGTGAGTTGCACACGCCCTATCATTTGTGCGCAATAATTTTGATACAACCTGTATAAGAAAATAAACTGTGGATTAGTTTCTCTACTGTATCAGGTATCTTATTAAAAATGACATATACATTTTATTACAAACAAGTTGGGTACATGTTGTTGAAGGTTTTTTTGTATTGCATTTATTGAAGAAAGTAGGTACTGAGCATATGGCTCATGAATTCATGTGAAAGGTACATTAAACAAGTTAGGTTATTTGTGACTTACATCTAATAGTTTTAAGGTATTTAGTTTATGCTAGTCTACGGTATTCGTGAAGGTAAAAAGTTTATCAGAGATGTGTAAGTGTGGTCATATATAGACTAGATTTTATACGGAAATACTGTTCTCACGTGGGAATCTGGTGATGAAGATCAGTTCTTTTATGTGCAGCTTAAATAAGAGGCACTCGATGCATATAGGTAGTTATCAATTTAAATGACGTAAATGGTTTGCGGATGATGGTGGCAAACTGTGATTCCATGAGATTGCTAGATGTGATTGCTAGATGGGGAGCACGATACTGGGCGTGGCTTTCATGATACCGCAGCAGTTCATTGAGGTCCACATGCCTCTGACAAACCCGCGGGTCGAGTCAAAACCCACGATGGAGCTGATATTCCCTTATACCAGCAGACGTTTCGGCGTCAAACTGGGCGGGGAATTTCGGCGAAGTCGGCGGGTTGCGTCTGGTCAAGACCACTCGCTTCACCTTCACGTGGGGCTCCCCGTAATTCGACGGACGTCGATACGGGGCGAAAGAGCGAGTGACAAACGGGAGGTCTCCAAGTTGTGGAACGCGGCGAGGAGGGCGCGCTTGGAGCAAGCGCCAGGCATGGCTGGTGGGTGCACCAGTCGTTAATGCCAACCTCTGGGTACCTGGCGACCCCCCGGGTGTATAAGCCTTCCCCGGGTATG